CCAAATAAAGAAAGGAGAAAACCTATACTACAGAGCAATAGTAACAAAAACAGCATGGTACTGGTACCAAAACAGGCGGGTGGACCAATGGTACAGAAAATAGGACACAGAAACCAATCCACAAAACTACAACTATCTTATATTTGATAAAGGGGCTAAAAGCATGCAATGGAGGAAGGATAGCATCTTCAACAAATGGTGCTGGGAAAACTGGAAATCCATATGCAACAAATTGAAACTGAATCCCTTTCTCTCGCCATGCACAAAAGTTAACTCAAAATGGATCAAGGAGCTTGATATCAAATCAGAGACACGGCATCTGATACAAGAAAAAGTTGGCTATGATCTACATACTGTGGGGTCAGGCTCCAAATTCCTCAATAGGACACCCATAGAACAAGAGTTAATAACTAGAATCAACAAATGGGACTTACTCAAACTAAAAAGTTTTTTCTCAGCAAAAGAAACAATAAGAGAGGTAAATAGGGAGCCTACATCCTGGGAACAAATCTTTACTCCTCACACTTCAGATAGAGCCCTAATATCCAGAGTATACAAAGAACTCAAAAAATTAGACAATAAGAGAACAAACAACCCAATCAACAAATGGGCCAAGGACCTGAACAGACACTTCTCAGAGGAGGACATACAATCAATCAACAAGTACATGAAAAAATGCTCACCATCTCTAGCAGTCAGAGAAATGCAAATCAAAACCACCCTAAGATACCATCTCACTCCAGTTAGATTGGCAGCCATTAGGAAGTCAAACAACAACAAGTGCTGGCGAGGATGTGGGGAAAAGGGTACACTTGTACATTGCTGGTGGGACTGCAAATTGGTGCAGCCAATTTGGAAAGCAGTATGGAGATTTCTTGGAAAGCTGGGAATGGAGCCACCATTTGACCCAGCTATTCCCCTTCTCGGTCTATTCCCTAAAGACCTAAAAAGAGCATGCTACAGGGACACTGCTACATCGATGTTCATAGCAGCACAATTCACAATAGCTAGACTGTGGAACCAACCTAGATGCCCTTCAATGGATGAATGGATAAAAAAAAATGTGGCATTTATACACAATGGAGTATTACTCTGCATTAAAAAATGACAAAATCATAGAATTTACAGGGAAATGGATGGCATTAGAGCAGATTATGCTAAGTGAAGCTAGCCAATCCCTAAAAAACAAATGCCAAATGTCTTCTTTGATATAAGGAGAGTAACTAAGAACAGAGTAGGGTCGAAGAGCATGAGAAGAAGATTAACATTAAACAGGGATGAGAGGTGGGAGGGAAAGGGAGAGAGAAGGGAAATTGCATGGAAATGGAAGGAGACCCTCAGAGTTATACAAAAGTACATACAAGAGGAAGTGAGGGGAAGGGGAAAAATAATACAAGGGGGACAAACGAATGTCAGTAGAGGGGGCAGAGAGAGAAGAGGGGAGGGGAGGGGAGGGGAGGGGGGATAGTAGAGGATAGGAAAGGCAGCAGAACACAACAGACACGAGTATGGCAATATGTAAATCAATGGATGTGTAACTGATGTGATTCTGCAATCTGTATATGGGGTAAAAATGGGAGCTCATAACCCACTTGAATCAAATTGTGAAATGTGATATATCAAGAACTATGTAATGTTTTGAACAGCCAACAATAAAAAATTTAAAAAAAATAATAATAAAATAAAATAAAATAAAAAAAAGAAAGGAGAAAACCTGCATGTTGCAAATGTTGAAAGTGGAGGGGAATGGAAAGAGAAACTTTTGGGGTGGCTCATAATCAAGCCTACATTGCCAGGAAGGAGCACTGAGGAAAGGTAAGGTGACAAAATCTTATGATGTCCACTGATACTCAAATATTAAGAGAAGTAGCCTGTGGAGAGGATATCCTTAGAGAATGTTAAAGAAAGTCCTCAGACACACTAATCAAGGGATTTCAGCAGAATCAGGAGGGATTACAAAGTTACACCATTTCTCATGGTGCTTTGTATTCCTGGAACATGGCACCAGGTGAATGAGATCAACGGACAGGCCTCAAACATCTTTATAGACACATTCAGAATTAAAAAAAAAAAAAAAATTACACTGCAATATTTACAAAGGCAATAGGGAAAACTGTGACCAATCAAAAATTATTTCCAGCTAACCTGTTATCCAGATATAAAGACAACAGACAGATATATTTAATCATGGAAAGAATTCAAGGAATAAAGTAGAATATACTTAATAAACAGAATAAAAGAATAAAGTTAATAAGGAAATACAGATAAAAAGATGAATCAAATTAAATAGAAAAAACTTGTGAAATTGCTGTTGTGAGTACTAGATTTATTTAAATATTAAGCTAAGATTATGACTCCTGGACATAATGTAAGTGTTATAAAACTGGCCACAGACATATACACACGCAACAAAAACTGTGCAGTGGTGGAAGGGAAGATAAGAATGTTGTTAATTACCTTGTTAACTGATTTTTCTAAAATGAAATCTGTACTTAAAAAATAATAACTTGGGCTGGGGTTGTGGCTCAGTGGCAGAGCGCTTGCCTCACACATGTGTGGTGCTGGGTTCGATCTTCAGCACCACATAAAAAAAATAAATAAACAAAATAAAGATATTGTGTCCATCTGTAACAATAATAATAATAATAATAATAATAATAATAATAATGACTTCCTCTGCTTTCTAATCTTTTTTTCCTTTTAACTCTCAGAGCAATGTTAGGAAAGAAAACCTTTTATAACAAAGAAACATTATAAGAAGTTAATCTCTTTCAATTTGTTCTTTTAATTCTCAAATAAAATTAACTTTCTTTAAATAATGTATTACGTTTATTCCCCCTTTTTCATTCACTCTATCACTTATCAACCCTACTGCATAGAGAGGTTTGCAATGTCTGCACTAAATGTCAATATACATCATTTGGCCATAGTACAATCTGGGATGACTTGCCTAGTCCTTTTTATTTTGTGTCCAATTCTTATTAGTTTTTTTTTTTTTTTTTTAAACAGAAAAATCAATTCTGTATAGGCATCTTTTTTCTTTTTTGGGATCCTGAGGATGGAACTCAGGGGCACTCAATCACTGAGCCACGACCCTAGCCCTACTTTGTATTTTATTTAGAGACAGGGTCTCACTAGTTGCTTAGCGCCTCGTTTCTGTTGAGGCATTCTGAACTTGCAATCCTCCTGCCTCAGTCTCCCCAGGCACTGGTGTGTGCCACCTTGCCTACCTCTGTACAGGCATCTTAAAAGCTGGAAAACATATATAGCAACAGTTTTTTACTGGATGTGTTTATACTTACATTTGGGTCAAAAGTCAAGCCACTGTAATTTATGATTAAAATAATTCTTAAATATTGTACAGAGAAAATATTGTACAGAGAAAAACTTCGGAGGATATTGCTCCCCACTTACTGAAAAATATTATATTCTGCTAAAAATATTGAGTAAAAATGCATGTTATTTAATTTGAAAATCACTGAGGAAATAGGATATGGTAGGTCCAAATAAGTCATTCATACCTATTATTCTTGGGGAGGATGTGGGAAAATTGTACTCTCATTCATTGTTGGTGAGTCTGCAAATTAGTAAAACCGCTTTGGGAATCAGTATGGAGTCTTCTTAAAATACTAGGAATGGAACTACCATGTGACCCAGCTATCGCATTTATTGGTATTTATCCAAAAGAACTATAATCAGCATTCTATAGGGATACATGCAGGGCTGGGGATGTGGCTCAAGCGGTATCGAGCTCGCCTGGCATGCGTGTGGCCGGGGTTCGATCCTCAACACCACATACAAATAAAGATGCTGTGTTTGCCGAAAACTAAAAAATAAATATTAAAATTCTCTCTCTCTCTCTCTCTCTCTCTCTCTCTCTCTCTCTCTCTCTTTAAAAAAAAAAAAAAAATTCCTCATAATAGGGATACATGCAGACCAATGTTTATAACAGCACATTTCACAATAGCCAAGTTATGGAACAAGTCTAGGAGCCTGTCAACAGATGAATAGATGAAGAAATTATGGTATTTACTCAGCAATAAAGAAGAATGAAATATATAATTTGCAGGTGAATGGGTAGAACTGGTACAGCACATCTTGCTAAGGAAAATAAGCCAGACTCAAAAGGCAAAGACCCAAAAGTTTTCTCCCCTATGCAGAAAGTGGAGAGAAGTAAGGATTTTAAAAATCAAAAAAACTCATGAAACTGGGAGAACAGTGGAACAGAGGAAGGGGACTGAGGAAGGGGGTAAAGATGGGAAAGGAAAGAAACTGTAGAATAAAATTATAGTATGTGCAGGTATGAATAACAGTTACAATGAATTTAACTTTTACATAACTATAATACACAAATTAATAAAATGATAAATACATAGAAGACAGAGCAGAGGAAGGGGATCTAGGGGAGGGGAAAGGGGAAGAACAAGGGATTGAATTGGAACAAACTAAGTTATATGTGGTTATAAATATGTCAAAATGAACCTGCTATTTTGTATAACTATAATACATTAATACAATTTTTTTAAGTTGAAATACATAAACGTGGAGGACAAAATTCAATATGGTGTTATCAAAACTGAATTTTTCTCTGGATGTTTACGTTGGACCTACATCTATTTACTTTTCATCTCCAAATGTTTCTATTCCATTTCAAACATGAACTAATGTTAATTCTTCTAAAAGTAACAATCACACATCTAAAAGAATGGAAAATGTGATGTCAGTGATATGTCTAATATATTAATTGAACAACATCTCCAAATATCCCTCTGCTTTTTCAGTTTTCTAATCTATTTAAGTTGCCTTCACTTTAAGCAACTAAAAATAAAAATGGAGAGGATTTTCAATGATAAAATAAAAGTTCATCTTCCTTTTTGGGAGATCTAGACTGGACAAATATTTAGAGTAAAGAAAGTATTCAGTCATCCTGAATTAATACCCGTTGTAACTATAGTTATTGAGAGAAACACATCCAAAAATATTCCATTTCCTTTACTCACTTTTGTGATAGTTTTTAAGATGGCAAGACGGTCTGCTGGGGGTGGCATACCCACAAAGAGTGTTTTGTCCAGCCGACCTGGGCGCAGAATGGCAGGGTCGATGATATCTGGAGAAGGGAGAACAAGTCTTAAATAAATGAAACAGAATAGATTTTTTTTAAAATTGAAAAATCCATCCCACCTTCTAGCCCCAAACCTGCTCTTTCTCCAGGATTCCCAATCACACATAATGAACCCCCACCCCAAAACACCAGACAGGTTTCTCCCCTTCCCTCTAAACAGGTACAAGTTCCATCAAGTCTGTCTCTGATTACCTTAACCATCAGTTCAAGAAAACATAAGTCCTTAACTGGTCTAGCTTGTAAACCTCCCCTTATAATGCTGCCAAGGTTATCTGCCTAAAACACAAGTCCATTGTTTCAACTCCTGCTCCTTCCTGCACAATGGACGCTACATTTCTAACCAGGGCAGGAAAGCCCTTAGGACCTCACCATCTTCCTTTCTAGTTTGATTTCTCCCCAAAACACTAGTTATCAGATGTCTTGCTGTTCCCTAAAAGATCCAGAAGCTTCAAGCTTCCTTCTCTGTGCTCTCAGTGCTGTCTTCCTCTGAAATGCCCTCCCCCCTTCATATCTATTGCAGTTCTCAAAGGACACTGCCTTCTTTCCTGAGGCTCCTCAAAGAAAGTCTCCTGCCTTCTTTTGTGCTTGGTCTCTGGGTGCCAGCAGCACTGCAAGCCTCACACCATGCCTGACAGGAGGCTCCTTATGAACATTCCTGACTTCTCTACAGAGACTCCATTTTTTAGCTAAATCATTTCCAACAGTTAATTTAAGCGTGAAATTGAGAGCTCTTATAAGACACAAAGGTAAGACCACTGCATATACAAACCTAACTAGAAATAATGAAATTCATGTTTCTAATAAATATATTGCAACTTAAACAATATTTTCCTCCTCCACAAAGACGCACAATTAGTCCTCTTTGCAGCTGACATTCCATCTGTTAGTATTACTGCTGAACCACCAAATGGAAACTATATCTTTATTCAATGCTTTTATGAATATTCAACTACTGTTGGAATTTCTCTTGGGATGGCAAAATGCACCATTTGAAAACGAGTTAAAATATGTATGTGTGTGTGTGTGTGTGTGTGTGTGTACACAAACCTGCCTAGTGGTCATCTTGTCTATAGTATAGAAGTTCTTAAACATTTTGCTCTCAGCATCCCTTTGCATTCTTAAAAATTACTGAGTTTCTCCTTCCTAAGTTTTCTTAGCTACCCTTCCCACTCCTAAGTATATATCTCCAAGAGAAATTAAACCAAATTAAAGCAAAAACTTGCACGTGAATATTCATAGCAGCATTATTCATAATGTCCATCAATTGGTAAATAAAAAAACTTGTATAACTATAAAATGAATTATTATCTGGAAATAAAAAGGGATGACGTACTGAGACATTGTATAGCATGGATGAACCTTGAGAATCTTATATTAAGTAAAAGAACAGACAAAAAAGCCCTCATTATATGACTTCTTTTATGTAAAATATATAGAATAGGCAAATTTATAGATACAGTAAGTTAGTGGTTACCTAGAACTGAACATGAGGTAAGGAGAATGAATGCTGAAAAGTATAAGATTTCTTTTTAAGAATGGAAATATTCTAAAATTAAATTGTGATGGCTGCATAACTCTGCAAATATACTAAAAATCACTAGAATGCAGGCCTAAAATGGATAAAATTTTTAAAAACCTAAACAAAGATGGAAAACAGAATGAGGTATCTTCTTATGATTGATTAAACAATTATGAGTCTACTACATACCAGCTTATCTACAAATCAGGGCCCGAGTTAATTTTTTAAAAAAGTAGTGCTCTGTCAAAGGGCAAGGTATACAGGCCTGACCACAGCATGTGTTCGACTGCCTCCAAGAAGCATTCAACCTTGATACAAGACCAGTCAGACTAGAAGTGAGGGAACAGGTCTGTTTAACTTAGACCTTTAGTGTCTAAATATCTTACTGTAAGAAAATAAACAGCTTCTTTTTAGTCCTCTATTCTTTTATCTGCTAAATAATTATTTAGGGCTTAGAATGAACAAAAGACTTTGAACCAGAAAGTCTCAAATATAAAAGTGCAGACCTAATTCTTGTCCAGATGGAAGCTTATTTGCTTATTTTTTCAGCTGTGCCATATCTAGAGGGCAGAAACTTTTTTCTGCTACAGGTAGGAAACAGACACCATCAAGTAGAAGAGAATGTTAAGAAGCTGGTTTGGCTATATGGGTTTCAAAGTCTACATACTCTACGCACGAGTATCTTTTTTATTTTTTTAAACAAGTTACACAGTGCACTGAGTGCGAACAGGTAATTCTCCTACTGAGAATTAGGAGGGCTGGCATTTGAAGAAAGAAATGCAAGTGTGCAGAACAGACTCAAACTAGGGTATCAGTGGCCTAGCAGTACAAGGAGCTGCATCTTCTCTAGCTAAGTACAGGCAGCTGGTTTAACTGCAGCTATACCACACATGCGAAGAGGGTTCAGAATAATCTGAGATGGAATAGTGGATAGTACTTTCAAAAAAGTAATAGCTGAGGAGTTGGGATTGTGGATCAGTGGTAGAGTACTTGCCTAGCATGTGTGAGGCTCTGGGTTCAATTCTCAGCACGATATAACAATAAATAAATATAGATCCAAGATGGTGGGCCAAGAGAGGCAGCATTCCGTGTCACTCCATGACCTAGGACTCAAGTAGTGAGAATACTGCTTCTCTGTAGTGATATTCCTGCTCCTAGGCAGGAATCACGATTACTGTGCCCGTCCAGGGCTCCAGGCCTCAGTGTCAGGATGCCGCTCCCACGCATGACACCTGGCAGCTTCCCACATGCAGGAACTCTAGCTGCCACTCCCATGTGGACCCCCATCTACCCCCATGGGGCTCCCCTGGTTGCTGCCATCTTGGGACGCTGCAGCAGCAGATAGTCCCCTACACATAGTAGCTGCCTACACCAGGGAACTTCACACAGGCTCTGAATAAGCTGACAGCCACATACTGCAAGCCAGAGCTGTCTCTGAACTCCTTGTCCAATGCCATCACTCGGCTCCCCCCACTGACCCGACACCCAAACAATGAAAGCAGGCGCCTCCATCTTGGGTCACCTTCATCACTTTCAGTGGGAGCAAATCCCAATTTGGAACTCTGGCTGGCCAGGTACTCAGTTTCTAACTACCCCCTCTCCCCAGCATCTGCCACCCTGGCACAGTGACACCCTGGTTACCTTCACCATCCTGAGGGCAGAGATACTATCTAACAACAGATGACCCCACCTATTAGATAAAAAGGAAAGCAGGAAAGATACTGATCTCCAACTAAAACAATCCCTGTTTCTTCTTTCAAGTTCTTTTTTTCCTCTCCCTCTCTATTCTCCCGCACTCACATCCATATGTGAAACCAAGTATTTTGCATGAATTAGGATTTTGAAGACTGGGACTTTTTAAAAAATTTTTTTCCCACCAATTTCTACTATTTTAACATTTTTTATTTTTCTAAATATATATTTATATTTGTTTTATGTACTCTACTGTCTTCCCACTTACTTGTCTACTCAAAATTACTTTCTCTCCCTTCTCCTGCTACTAACCTTCCTTGTTAGATTTCTCTTTCACACTTCCTAAGAAGTGTGAAATACAGATCCAAGATGGTGGGCCTCCTACCTCCTCCTTAGCATATCATCCTACTCCTCACCTCTGGTTCTTTATCCACCATTAGAAACTGTAAACACTTTTATAAACCTACTGAGTATATTGTAGCTAATAAATGAATTCACCATTTCTGTACATTTTGACCAAACTATAAACATCTTAACAGCAAACATTTGTTTTTAGGGTGTATATTGGTTATATTGGAATCTGTTACCATTGTCCTTCACCTCAAAGGAGAGGTATTAGATCCCTACAGGGGCACTATAAGCCTCGGATCCACAGTGCTAGAAGGGAAGACACATAAGCAATATGAAAAGACAAGGGAAGAAAGTGCCCCAAACATATCAAGATATCACATTATTAGAATCCATGGCCAGCACAGCAGAAGAAATGACAGAGACGGAGTTCAGGATGTACATGATAAAAATGTTCTGTGAATTAAAGAATGATATAAGAGAGCAAATACAGGCAGCAAAAGATCATTTTGACAGAGTTACATAAACAAATAAAGGAAGCAAAAGATTACTTCAACAGAGAGACAGAGGTTCTAAAAAAAAAAACAGAAATCCTTGAAATGAAAGAAACAATAAACCAAATTAAAAGTTCAATTGAAAGCATTACAAACAGATTAAACCACTTGGAAGAAAGGACCTCAGACAATGAAGACAAAATATATAATCTTGAAAAGAATGTAGCCCACACAGTGAAGATGGTAAGAAACCATGAGCAAAACATTCAAGAAATATGGGATAGCATAAAAACACTAAATTTAAGAGTTATTGGGATAAAGGAAAGCATAGAATTCCAAACTAAAGGAATGAGCAATCTACTCAATGAAATAATATCAGAAAAGTTTCCAAACATGAAGAATGAATTGGAAAACCAAATTCTGGAGGGTGACAGGGTGCCAAATGTACAAAATCACAACAGATCCACACCAAGACACATAATAAAAATGGCTAACATACAGAATAAGGAGAGAATATTAAAAGCCATGAGAGAAAGGAATAAGATTACATGTAGAGGAAAATCAATTAGATGTGCAGATTTTTCAACGCAGACCCTGAAAGCTGGAAGATACTGGAACAATATATATCAAGCTCTGAAAGAAAACAGATGCCAACCAAGTGTCTTATGTCCAGCAAAATTAAACTTTAGATTTGATGATGAAATAAAAAACCTTCCACAAATTTGATCATGAAGTAAAAAAACCTTCCATGATAAGCAAAAGTTAAAAGAATTTATAACTCGAAAGCTTGCACTACCCAACAGCCTTAGCAAAATATTCCATAAAGAGGAATTGAAAAACAACAATGAAAATTAGCAAAGGGAGGTATTACAGTAAAGGAAAAACTACTAATGAAAGGAGAAACCAAGTTAGTTTAATACTAAAAATAAACA